AGAGATAAAAGAACAAGAGAGCATCAAAACACAACCCAAGCTATATCACAGGAGACAAAAGACAACACACAGGGACGCGAGAAGAGAGAGCACGACATGATACAGATGCTGTAAGACATCATATTAAACATTGCACACACAACTGCCAGAATCTCAGCATGGTATCAGTGTCACACACCCAAATTCTGGTCACCCACCCCACATGTGCGATTAAGACAGAGAGAGCTACGAGAAAAGAGAAAGCCGGGGTGGGTAGCTAGATGACGAGGAATAAATTAAATGCTCCCTCTTTCTCCCGCCCTTCCTCGCCTGGCTGCCCATCCGCTGCCCTCCTCTCCCTTCGCACCTGCCCCGCCAATCCCGCCTGCAGCCCGTCCCCTCCTGGTCCCTCGGCCCCTGGTTTTCCGGTTCTCGGCCGACGGGCGCCCCCTGTTGGAGGGTGGGGGCGCGGGCACGGCTGGGTCTCTGCTCCTGGCGCCTCTGGCGGGCTGGCCCGGCGCGGGGCTGCGGTTGCTGGGGGCGCCCAGTCCCGCGGAGGAGCCGCTGCTGCCTGTGCGCCTGTCCCCGGTGGGAGCCTATTCGCCCCCGGCGCGCGGGGCCCTGTCCTGCCTGGCCAGCCCCGAGCTGGCGCTGCTGCTGTCCCCGCTCTTTCCCAGAAGCAGCACCTTCCCCGCCGCGGCTCCCCCACCCCGCCAGGTACCCGCCCCCCCGCTGCCACCGCCACCTCGTCCGCCGAAGGCCCCTCGCTGGACCAGGAGCCCACCGCCTCCTCTCAGGCTACGTAAGACGGCCCCGGGCCGGCCCCGTAGGCCACGCCCCAGGCGGGCCGCCCCGCCCCTCCTCGGCTCGGCTCCCACCTCCGCGGTGGTTGCATCCGGGCCGCCCCGCCCCTCCTCGGCTCGGCTCCCACCTCCCCGGTGGTTGCATCCGGGTTCCCGGCTCCGCCCCGCCCTTCGGCCTGGCCGATTCCTAGCGAATTCATTGGTTCTGGGAGCCTGGCTCTGCCCCGCCCATCTGGCCGATTCCTAGCGAGTTCATTGGTTCTGGGGAGCCTGCCTCCGCTCCGGTGCTGGCCGGGCGCTGTGGACGCGGGCCTGTGCTGCTTCAAACTCAGTTCAGGGGGCTCCAGCAAGTCCGTTGATAGGGACCTGGGGTGACCCCTGTGTGGAGCCCCTGGCCAGGGCGGGCCGGGCCCGACCGCCTCCTTGCTGCGGGAACGTGCAGGGTGCAGCTCCCCAACTCTCCCGGCTGAAGAGGGCCTGGTCTCGCCTTCCTACCCACCAGCCTCACTGGGCTGCGGGGCGCCCTCCGCAGCGATGCCGGAGCAGGACCTGGGGTTCCCCTTTCTGGTGCCTTCACTGTAGCCTCCCAGCCCTTGGATCTCCGCTCCCTCCCTCTCTTTTCCATTCTCGTTTGTCTGTCTTTCCATTGGTCCGGGATCCCCACGTGCTCTTCCGTGTTCGCGGGCAGGACGCAGGCCCGGGGGGAGCGGGGGTGGGGGGAAGGTGCCCCTCCCTGCCCTCGGCCTGTCATCTCCTGCCCTAGAGGCCCCAGCGGGCGGGCGGGAGGTGAGCGCGGCTGTCCTTGCGCCTGGACTTCCGGGATCGCGGAGGTGGGAGCTGGGCCCTGAAGAAGGAATGGAAACGGGGAATTGGGGTGCACAGGGGCGGCGAGTGCTGAGATCCGGGCAGCATTTCACTCCGGGGTCCCGGGTCGCGCTGCCCGTGCTGTACCCAGCTTTGTGTCCCCTCTCCCAAGACTTCAGGGCTGGGTGCTGTGGACCCGTAGGAGGTGACCGGTGCCGAAGCCGGGAGTCCTCGAATAACCCTCGGTAAGTGTCTCCGCGTTCTTTCCTCCCCGCAGTCCGCAGTTCCTGGTCCTTCGCCGGTGTCCCCGGGGCCCAGCGACTGTGGATGGCAGAAGCCCAGAGTGGGACCGGCCAGCTGCAGGAGCAGAAGAAAGGTAGGACACCCCCGCCCTGGCCTCGGAATCCGCTGCCCCGCACTGTGCCCTCCCCTCACAGGGTCAGACTGCATGAACCGGGTTCTCCCAGGCCCTCGGGTGTTCCTGGGAGACAGGGGCTTTGATGCTTCTCTCCCCTCCCCCCCCTCCCCCTCCCCAGGTCTCTTGATAGCCGTCAGCGCCTCCGTGGATAAAATCATCACGCACTTTGGGGCCGCCCGAAACTTGGTTCAGAAGGTGAAGTTGTCTGTGGGAGGGTCTGGGGGTTGAGGAGGTGAATGGAGCTCTGGGGGCGCAGAACTCTGGACAGGAAGCGCGTTGTCGGTATCTCTGGACCCATGCCCACTGCGCTGCCTCCAGGCCCAGTTGGGAGACAGCCGGCTGAGCCCAGATGTGGGGCACCTGGTGCTGACCACCCTCTGTCCGGCTCTCCATGCCCTGGTGGCTGACGGGCTGAAGCCTTTCCGAAAGGACCTCATCACTGGGCAGCGCAGGAGCAACCCCTGGAGCGTGGTGGAGGCATCGGTGAAGCCAGGTGAAGTGTGGGACTCGGCCCAGGGCTGGGCCCGGAGGGAGGCCCGGCTGGGGCTGGGGCTGGGGCTGGGGCTGGGCTGACAGCTCGGGTTGTCCTCAGGCTCCAGCACCCGGTCCTTTGGAACCCTGTATAGCCAGGTCAGCCGTCTAGCCCCGCTGAGCAGCAGCAGAAGCCGCTTCCACGCCTTCATCCTGGGCCTCCTCAAGTGAGTGGCATTCTTTCTGGTGCCCCTCCCATGGCCTGGGTCCTGCAGGGGTATCTCAGGTGGGATCCCCCAGGTTCCTGGCGCAAACCTCTCCTGTTCCAATCTCATCTCCCACCCCCTGCCTAGAGGGCGCTGGAGTCCTCCACCTCCCTGAGCTTGTTCCCTTTTCTCCCCCAGCACTAAGCAGTTGGAGCTGTGGTTTTCCAGTCTGCAAGAAGATGCAGGTCAGAGGTTCAAATGGGAGAGGATGGGGCTGCTAGGCTGTGAGGGAAGGAGGAAAGGGGGTCTGTTCTGCTGGTTCCCACTAATGCCAGGATGATCTTAATCTGCTCTGCGGTCTTATTACTCTTCTGCTTAAAACTTTTCCAAGGAGTCCCTTAGCCCACAGGGGGGAAAACCCAAATCTTCACTATAACTTCCCGTCTTGATTATTGGCCTCTGCCTTCTTCTCTTGCCTCTAAGTCTGGGGCTTTCCCTGGTTCCTTGACAGGCTTCCTTTCTGATTCTTTCCTCCTAGAATAGGACTTCCTGCCCCTCACTAACTTTCATTCATCCTTCAGATTTTACAGTGAGGCTTCACATTGCCCTCAGACTAGGCTAACCCTCACCCCCTATTTTGCTCCCATGGCCCGGTCCTCCTTTCTGTTACTCAGTTTCTTATCACCACTTGTTCTATATGTGCTTCCCGCTCTAGGCAGTGGTTTTACATGGGCAGGGAGGTATCAGCCCTGTTCCCCACCATGGTCTTCTCTGCCCCAGTGCCTGGCATAGAATGAGGCCTGGGGGGATGTTTGTTGATGGGTGGGCTGATGCAGGGAGCCCTCTGGGACTAGGCTGAGGGCAGGGACTAATGTTAGCCTTCTTCTTTTCTAGGCCTGCTGTCCCTCCTGTACCTGCCCACTGGATTCTTCTCTTTGGCCCGGGGTGGCTGCCCTTCCCTGTCCACAGAGCTGCTGCTCCTGCTGCAGCCATTGTCGGTGCTCACCTTCCACTTGGACCTGCTCTTTGAGCATCACCACCACCTGCCCCTGGGCCCACCTCAGACTCCTGCCCCCCCAGGCTCACCGCCAGCCTTGCAGCAGACTGTGCAAGCCATGCTGCACTGGGGGGGTCGGCTGGCCCAGAGCCTTCGTGGGGCTTCTGAGGAGACCCCTCCAGGCCCTTCAGCCCCCTCAAGCCCTCCCAAACCAGGCAGCTGGTGGGAGCAGCTGACCCAGGCCTCCCGGGTCTATGCCTCTGGGGGCACGGAGGGCTTCTCCCTTCGTCGATGGGGATCCAGGTGTCCCGGGACTGTGGCTGAGGAAGCACAGGAGAGATCGTTGCCCACAGAGGACACGGCACCAGGCAGAGGCGTGTGGCTGGGAAGACTGTTTGGAGTGCCTGGGGCCCTCACAGAAACTGAAAGTGGAACTCTAAAGTCCAGGTAATGGGGCACCTGGTCCCCTCCATGACCTCTGACCCCATCCCACATCACCCAGTTACCCAAATATGAAACTAGAGTGATCCTCTAGGTCAGAAGTTGTCAGTCTGTTTTTCTACAGCCATGAGCTAAAAATGGTTACATTCTTGAGAAGTTACATTTTAATGGTGATATAAGCACCTATATGATGTTCTCCATTTGCCTCTTGGCCCTAAAGGGCTAAATAGTAAGTATTTGCTGAACTCTGGCTTCAGATACTCTCCAGTGATCCTCTAGGTCTCTCTGAGTGTACTGGTTCCCAGAGGTCCTTTAGTGACTTTTGTGTTGTAGACCTGTTTTCACCTCCCTAATCACCCTAACAAACTGTCTCTCTGCCCTTAGCAGTGACCAGCTCCTGATCTCTTTTGAAGCACAGGCTGCTCAGCCTTTTTCTCCCTCCAGAGCCCTGGGTGTTTTTTTTTTTTTTTTCTGGAGGTGGGGTAAACTCTGTGACCCTGTATCCCTTCCTCCAGGAGACCATCCAGCTGGCTGCCTCCTACAGTGAACGTGCTGGCTCTGGTGAAGAGGGTGGCACCTTCTGAGACTCCCAGTTCACCGGAGGAGCTTGAGGCCTCAGCACCCAGCACGGTGCAGACCCATCGGTAAGGAGAATCGGGGAGAATGCATTGGTGTGCACGTGTGTGTGTGTGTGTGTGTGTTTCTGTCTTCAGAGGGGAGGGGAGGTAGTTTAAAAGGCTGTGGGGCTGTAAAGTCAGGCAGTGCTTAGTTTGCATTACATTTCTGCTATTATTGGTGTGAACTCATTTCTCTGAGCCTTGGTTTCTTTCTCCCTTTTTAAAGAGGATAATTTATACCTTTATTGTGGTTGTTAGAGAGACTAAACATAATTTTATAAGAGCATCTGGCACAGAGGAGGTGCCCAGTTAATGACAACTATGTATTTGGATGTGCCCATGTGCATACCCCGAGGGATTGTGCTTCCCTTCAGTGGGGTCTTCTAATTTGGCACCAGAGATTGCTTCTTGCTTTAGGGTCTGGCTTCCTTTGGTTCCTTAATCCATTGAATTAGGTTTCTTGATTTTTCATTCATTCAGTAATACTTTTCAAGTACTTACTATGTGCCAAGCATTATGCTAGGGGAGGGAAAACAAAGATAAACATATTGGAACCCCTACCTTCAAGGAGCTTGTAGTCCAGTGGAGATACCAATGAGTAAACAAGTGGTTAAAATTCTGTATGGAGCCGGCTGGTGTGGGCCAGTTGGGTGAGTGTTGTTCTATGCACCAAGAGGTCACTGTTCGATTCCTGGTCAGGGCACATGCCTGGGTTGCAGGTTCGATCCCCAGTAGGGCGAGTGCAGGAGGCAGCCAATCGATGTTGCCCTCTTATTGAGGTTTCTCTCTCTCTCTCTCTCCCCCCCTTTCCCTCTAAAACAAGAAAAAAACAATAAAAACATATTTAAAAAATTCTGTATGGAAAAGATTGTAGGAAAGGAGCCATATAGACAGGGCTTCTTCCCCAGGTTGCAGACTCAGGGAAGGCCCAGTGATGGTGTAGGGTGTGTCAGAAGGAATAGGATGCAAAAGTGGAGAGGCCCAAGTGTAGTGAGGTACTATGGACACATGGTTGTGCCCAGAGTGGAGGTTGTTGGCAGCAGTGACAGGAAGCTATAGGCTTCAGTAGGCCTAGACCTCACTGTGAGGTAGGGGGAACCACTGAAGGGCCATAAGCTGGGGGATATGCTTGCTTGTTTTTGAAGGATCTCTGTCTGCTGTGTGGAAAATGGAGCTGGGGAGGGAGGTCATGAGAGATGAAGGGATATCAGTTAGATTATATGTAGTGGTTGAGAGAGAGGATAGAGAGCTAAACTAGAGTGAGGGCAGTGGAGTTGATGAGAAAGACAGGTGGAATAGTGGGAGATACAAACACCAAGCTAGTTTTGGTGATTGAGTGGATATGAGGAATGAGAGACCCTGGTTTTTGCTGGGAGCAACTGGGTAGAAGGTAGTGCTATTTACCAGTATAGGGGACACAAGAGGAGGGACTGGTGTGTAGAGTTAAGATGAGTTATTTAATTTGCAGATGTTGAATTTGAAGTACAAGAGAAGTGCAAATCATGTCAAATAAGTTGCTGAAGAGTGGGTTTGGAGCTCAGGAGAGGGCTGGGGCCCCACAGGGAACCCACATGTTGCTAGACACGAGCCCAATGTTCCCAGAGCTGAACCAAAGGGATGTTCCACACGGTGGGAAGATGAGACCTGGGACAGCTGGGTACCCCCACCTCACTTCATCCCAGCATCTGGCTCCCCACAGGGCAGTCCGTGCTCTCTGTGACCACACCGCTGCAGGACCTGACCAGCTGAGCTTCCAGCGTGGGGAAGTGCTGCGTGTCATCGCCACTGTGGATGAGGACTGGCTCCGCTGTGGGCGGGATGGAATGGAGGGGCTGGTACCTGTGGGGTATACCTCTCTTGTTCTCTAGGCCTAGGACCTTTTTCCTTTCCTGCATATCTCTCTCTCTCCTGTCACTTTGGAATGGAATGGCCTGTGAACACGAACCCTTGTAAACTGATTTTCCCAGAAGCATTTTCCCTGTCTGTAAAAGGATACTTTCCTCCCACATCCCTTTCTACTAAGATGTGAAATAAATTTTCCTACTTCTCTCCCATACCCATCTGTAAGTTGAAATCTGCTCTTCTTCCAAATATATACAAAGCAATTTTCCTCCATGCAGTTTCTTTCCTCTTCCCCATCTGCACAAGGGAATATCTCCCTATCTGCAAAATGGAAATCTAGTCCCCATCTACCTTCCTGTGTAAGTACTCTGCTAGTACAGTATATGCCTCAGTTCCCAAGACTAGAGGGTCTCTAGTCTCCTTCATGTGTATGAATCTTCCCCCACTTCCCCCATCCCATGTTGCCAATATTTATTATGTACTCATGTTGTACTAGGTGTTAAAGTCTGGATACCCCTGGTGGGTGGGCCTGTGATGTTGGATATGTCTCCTTCCTCTTTTGTCCCAATAAAGTGTGGGAGTTGAATGTGTGTGTGTGTGTGTGTCACAGGGGGTTTGAGGACATAGGCTGTGGGAGGCCCTCTTGTAGGAAGCTCAAGGGAGATGCTTCCTTCCAAGCCCAGGTTCAGTTCTTACTGTTTCCTGAGGAATGCAGAAGTGCCCCTTGATTGTGCCTGAATCTCAGAAGTGCCCCTTTATGCGAGACATCACTGCTTTGTTTTGTGGGACTGATAGGTAGGAGCCTGAGTAAATAGTGGGAGAATGGGGAAGACATGGCCCTTGAAATTATACTCGTTAGATTTGTATCTGAGGTGATGAAGGATTAAAGGGTTGCAAAAAGTGACAGATTGTTTTCTATTTAACATTACTATTCTGCAGTAATACAATTTCAGAAAGCACAATAACTTGACATTTATAACTTTGTTAGGATTTAATGAGTTTTGGTCTTCTGAAATGAGAATAGTTAAGGTGCTCTGGAGGTTTGAGGATGGGGTAGGAAATCATTATAAATGATTGCCTCAAGGAAAATCACTAAAAGGTTAGAAGAATAAAGATATAATTATAACCAGGCAACAGAAAAGTTAGGGGGAAGGTGAAAACTATGAAGTGAAATACAGGGGAAAGATATCTGGAAGTTTTCCTTCATTTTGGAGAACTTGGTTGGAGAGGACAATGGGCAGGTAATAGGAGAGGGGAGATAAAAACAGATCAAAGCTTTGTGACTACTCGGGAGCAGGCTTTGAATAGCCTCAAGTGTCTCATACTTTTGTTATTTTTGAAGGCTTATTTTAAAAAAAATATTTTTATTGATTTCAGAGAGGAAGGAAGAGGGGGAGAGAGACAGAAACATCAATGATGAGAGAGAATCATTGATCGGCTGCCTCCTGCACACCCCCCCATTGGGGATTGAGCCCGCAACCCTGGCATGTGCCCTTGACCGGAAATGAACCTGGGACCCTTCAGTCCGCAGGCTGACAGGCTGACGCTCTATCCACCAAGCCAAACCGGCTAGGCTAGGGTGTTGAAGACTTATTCTTAAACTCCATTCCCGGCCAATTCATATTCATCTGCTCCTTGCTTTAAATTTGCATTTGTGTTTAGCTGCCCTCTCAATTTTGACCTCAGTTTGCATTTCAGATGTTTTCTAGGGTGATGTTTCACCAACGAGATTCTGAGAGCCTCTGGGGATTCCTAGTTATATTAGGAGTACTCAAGTTTACACAAATTGCCACTGCAAAAGAAGTTTTATTTTTATAATGTTTGAAATTATAAAACAGTAGATATGAAAGACTACTTTTTTTTGGGGGGGGGGCAATGATTTCTAAAGTTTCAGATTTTAGAGAGAGAGAGAGAGAGAGAGAGAGAGAGAGAGAGAGAGAAACATCCATCAGCTGCCTCCTGTACATGCCCTAACCAGGGATTGAACTCGAAACCTAAGATATGTGCCCTTACTGGGAATCGAACCCTCAACCTTTTTGGTGTACAGGACAACGCTTCAACCAACTGAGCCACCCCGTTAGGGCCTGATGATATGGTTTTAAAAAGATTTTTTTGGAAACAGGATTGAGAAGATCCTGGAAGATAAATGGAGGATAGGAAAGAGGAAAAAATAGCAAGCTCACCACTCTGTAGTTAGGAAAAGTTTTTTCCATTTAATACTAGACTTTTAAGGATTTGAGATGCAAGCTTTTTATGCAATTACATCCAATGTTAAAATTGGTAATACATAATTTACAAAGATTAACATCAAAACAATCATCTATTTAGATATGCTTTTGTAAAAAGGAAATATATTAGCAGCATTTATATTTTCCGCAATCACACAGCCTACAGACATGCAGACTAACTGTATCTATTTGCAGTGATGTAGTGCTTTGCCCCGCATTTCAAACACCAAAACCCACCTGGCAGCTAGGGGGATCTTTTTATTTCGTTATTATAAAATAACTGAAAAATAAAAAAAGGCATTAATCTCTACACAAGTAAGAAAAAACAAGTTTTTGCACTTACCTAACATTTGATTGTCTAAAAAACATTTCAGTTTTTAGTCTTTCAACAAAAGAAAGATAAAATGACAGAGCGTAGTGTCTTTTGCTTCTGTTCACACATATTACAAAGTTTTTTCTTTTTTTGTCTTTTTTAAAATTTTAGTGTTTAACACTATTAAAGGAAATATTGAATTTTAAACTCTTTCTTGTAACTTTCCTGCTTTTGACTAAAAGGAGACTCCCAAAGTGCCCCTATCCCCACCTCCCTCCCCCCCGGCTCCCTGAAATGAAAACCAAAAAAGAAACCACTCAAATGGGCTTGGACATGCGATGTTTCCAGCTCCACACGTGAGTATCTTATACCCAGGTCTCTCAGTAATGTACAGTGCTTCTCTACAGTAAGAAAATACTCCAAATTATTTTCTTAATTCTCTTTTTTCTTTAATAAAATATTTATTCTGCTTTTTCTCTGCTCAAGGGGATCTTTGGCATCCCCGGTCTCTTTTGTTTATTCCTCAAGATTGACACAGAAAGAAGAAAAAGGAAAAAAGATTCAATGGAATGGAAGGTGGTCAATGTTTCTACCTAAACAAGTCAGAGTGTCGTCATCATAAGGGAAAATGTACAATTAGGACAGCATTGGTCCAATATTAGAAAAAAGTAATGAGGACTGGTTTACTATTGTATTGCTTGCTAATCACGCAGCAGATATATATATATATATATACACACACACACATATATATACACACACATACATGTGTGTGTGTATACACACACACACACACATACACACACATATATATACACATACAACTTGGCACATTTAAAAAACATCTTTTCTCTTATAAGAACATCTAAAACTTATATGCATATGTATGTCTGAGAAGACAACAAAGCAAAGCTTTTTAAATTTTATTTTTAAAGAGACATTATTGTCTGGTAACTTCTGGCCCAGAGAATGGGAAGGAAGGAAACACCCTGGATATCCCTCCTGATGATCAGGAGGGTGGAGGAAAGATGGAACTAGGGGTAGGGAGAATACACTGTCTCTTTAAGAGATAAAAATTGAAAACTGTACAATTAAGAAAACAAGAGTAGTGTTTTGAATTGATAATCTACACTCACAACAAATACTCTGATAGGTGAATACTGTTCAACAGTTTTGTAGTGATTTTTGTTTGGTGGGGGTTAGAGTTCATTTTTATATAGGTTTTAAAATGATTTTATTTTGAAATGAATCTTCATTCGCACAGCACAGCAGACACACACAAACCACAGTGCATAAACTGTACATGTGCTGGGGGGAGGCCTGGCCTCGTCAGAAAAAAATATGTTCGGCAGGTTAAAACGAAGGTAATTCTAAGTACTGTGCCCTCTGACCCCATGGGGGCCTTCCCTATTCCATGATTCTATTTTGGGGAGTAGATGTAGGGAGAGGAGCAGCAGTTACAAGTGCTTTGAGTTATCAACTCATGTTTTACTTTGACATTGTTGGGCAAGAAAGGAGAAACTTCCCTCATCGGGGATCTGGAAAGAGGCCCCAGCTACTGTTTCTGTCTCAGGTCTCTGGGATAGCTCTTGGAGCCTACAGAAAGCAGATGGGGTAGGTGGTGGGGTTCCTGGCCCTACCCCTTTGGATTCTGAGTTATACCTGGGTATAGGAAGCAGCTTCTTAGCAGTGCTTGTGGGATCAGAGGATGACAGAAAAACCCAAGCTGGGGGAGGGGCAAGTGTTATAAAGTACCAAAAAGTTTTGGTCATCCTCAATGTGCTCTGCCTTCCTCCCTACATTATTATTAACCTTCTGGATGAAGCCATGGAGAGGAAAACAAGTTAAATTGAACTGGTTAGACAGATCCCCTTCCTCTTCCTCTCTACAAGCTCCAAGGTTTATTAAGTACCTAATGTTAACGTCATGGCCCCATTCCCCTTGCTGGATGGACCCTTCCCACTCCTGTCTATACTCAGAGAACAGGAGGCAGGACTGTTAGCTCCACTGGATCTCAGATGCTTGAGGTTCTCATTCTTTGAGGTTCACTTTCGAAAGCTGTTTTCTGGGATAAACAGAGTACGCCTTCGCAGTTTCCTGCCTGATCCTTCCTCCAGCAAGTATGTCACATCGATGGCTGAAAACAGAACCAAGGAGGCTGATCAAATACCACTGGCCTACTCCTTACTCCAGATCTGAGTTCTCAGATCAGAGGACTTCAATGATTGCTTTTCTGACCTAAAAGCAATTTAGGCCTTCCTCCAGCTAGGTATAAAAGCTAGTCTCTAGGAAGGAGAACATCTCACCTCCCACAGTTTCATTCCCCAAATATAACTAAAAGCAGGCCCATTAAGAACTATACCATTTTCTTAGAATACATTCCATTCCGGACCAGTAGTTAGAAGTTGTTTTTTTTTCATTTCATCTCCCTAATTTTCTATTTACCTTAAATCCTAGATATTAGCCTGATTCTTCTTACCATTTTTTCCAGGGATTTTGTCAAGGAGATTGAGCAAGATCTGGTTGAGTCGTTCCCGCTGGTTATGCCGTCGTTCTTCAGGGGTACAGGCTGACTGAGCTTCTTGACTACTCTCTTCTGTTTTTTTTCCGCCCTCACTGACTTCGGCAGTGGCCCCTTCCTGTTCTGGCTCCTCCAGGCTGGGCATCTCATTGGCTGCTTGCTCCTGACTGGCCAGAACTTCTTCAATCAAGGGCAGAGCATCGTCCTCCTGGCCCAAGTCTTTTAGGGGTGGCTTTGAGCGCTCAGACTTCCAGGATGATCTGCCAGAAGGATATGTGAACTTAGAGTAAGGCTGAGAAGGGCACTTGGGGTTGGATAGGGCATGAAGGGAAGAGACCTCAGGGTGGCTTGAGACGCTGAAGCCTAGCTGTTACAGCCTTGGCTCAATAGGTCAGGAACTTGGCTCTGGTCTTCACTTTATTATTATTTGAACAAACCATTACTTTTCTCTGAAATTTAATTCTGATTTGTAAAGTTCAATTTTTCTTCTTTCTTTCAGAAATCCAACAAATTCATAAAATATACCAGAGCTGGTAAAATTGCTTAGCTAGTTCTGAATGCTTCATGAGTACAGAGAAGAAGTATGGTACAACTTTGTAGTCCAACTACAGTAAGTATTTAAATGAAGTTTTTACTTTTCCTAAACTTTTTCACATCTATTATCCAATATTTTTTCCCTTATGGTAAGCTACTGAAGTAGGTAAAGCAGTTGTTATGCCACCATTCAACAGAAAAAGAAGACAAGACTTTTGTGCTCTTTTTCTAAGAATATCCATTATATACAAAGCAAACATAAATAAAAATTACAAACTCAAACTGTTCAGCTAAAACTGTGCCTTGACAATGGTCTTAAAAGTTGATAAACTTTGGAGTAATGGGCAAAGCTTGCAGACATCTAAAAAAGAGACTTTTCTTAATCTGTATGGAGTTCTGTTCCAAATTCTCTTCTTCTCTATCTGTAATCCTTGCAAAATCTCCCTTTCTGCCCTTACTGTTGGCACAACATTGGGCTACTCTGTCAGAGAACCCCCAATCTTAGGGGTTGTTGGTAAAAACCCCTTAGGCTCTTCATATCCCTATGGGACTCACCGTCCTCCGTTCCTCTTGTAGTTGTCTGGGACATAATGAGGCTGCAGAAAAGAAAAGGAAGCAGTGAGTGTACAATAGAAGCTGACAAAGCTGATCATACGATCTAGGGCTAACTCACGATAGAGAGGTGAGGAGGTAAAGGAAGAAAAAAAATGGGGCTGACGCCCTTACAAGCTGGGTGACTATATCTTAAAGTCAGAAGTTCAGTACTTCTATTATCTGTAGGCCACTAGGCTCACAGTTCTTTTTGCCCCATCCCAACTTTTAAGCAGTTAAGGTTGGGGTTTCAAAGCTAATCAGTGAGCTGCTGACTGAGCAAGAAGGACCAGAGAAATCTAGATGAGAGGCAGGGCTTGGTTGTGGGTAGAAAGAATATAAAATAAATACTGTTTAGAGAAATCTGAAATTAATAATAGAAAAAACAGGGACATAAAGGTTTGCTTTCTGGCTAGATTACCTCTAAGCATTCCAGGATGACAGCTATGAATTTTGACAGGCCCACTTACAAGAAGACAGAAGGATGAGAAGAGCTAATCCAGGGTTTCATTATAGCAAATAGATGAATGGGTGACCAAAATCTTTATGGAATGATGAATGGCATAAAATAATCAGAGGAGTATGTTCACAACAATTTAAAAGAAAAAATACAATAAAAAAAAAAGGCTGATAATAAAAATGCTAACAGTAATTTTTTGGGTAGTGGGATAATACAGTCAGTCATGTGCTGCTTAATGATTGGAAATGCATGGTTAAGTCATTTTGTTGTTGTGTGATCATCATAGAGTGCCCTTACACAAACCTAGATGGTATAGCCTATTACATACCTAGGCTGTATGGTATAGCCCCGTGGTAGGCAAACTGCGGCCCGCGAGCCACATGCGGCTTTTTGGCCCCTTGAGTGTGGTTCTTCCTAAGCTTTAGGAGTAACCTAATTAAGTTAATAACAATGTACCTACCTATATAGTTTAAGTTTAAAAAATTTGGCTCTCAAAAGAAATTTCAATCGTTGTACTGTTGATATTTGGCTCTGTTGACTAATGAGTTTGCCAACCACTGGTATAGCCTATTGCTCCTAGGACAGGGGTGGGCAAACTTTTTGACTCGAGGGCCACAATGGGTTCTTAAACTGGACCGGAGGGCCGGAACAAAAGCATGGATGGAGTGTTTGTGTGAACTAATATAAATTCAAAGTGAACATCATTACATAAAAGGGTACAGTCTTTTTTTTTTTTTAGTTTTATTCATTTCAAACGGGCCGAATCCGGCCCGCGGGCCGTAGTTTGCCCATGGCTGTCCTAGGATATAAGCGTATATAGCATGTTATTGTACTGAATACTGTAGACAACTGTAACACAATGGTATTTGTATATGTAAACATAGAAAAGGTACAGTAAAATACAGTGTAAAATATTAAAAAATGGTACACCTGTATAGTGTACTTACAATGAATAGAGGCTGCAGGACTGGCAGTTGCTCTGGGTGAGTTAGTGACTGAGTGGGGAGTGAATGTGAAGGCCTAGAACATTATTGTAAACTATTGTTTTATAAACACTACACTTTACACTTAGGCTATACCAAGCTTATAAAACAACACAAAGTTTAAATCAAGCATGAGAAAATGATGCAATAAAAAATGTAAACATGAGATGAGTGAGGCTGCTGCTGGTATAACATGGGATACTGTTTACAGCAATTTTTAAAAAAATAAGCAGAAACAGTACACTTTAAAATAACTATAAAAGTGCAGTATAGTAAATACATAAACCAGTAACAGTCATTTATCATTATCAAGTATTATGTACTGTATACAATTGTATGTGCTATACTTTTATATGAATGGCAGCACAGTAGGCTTACACTAGCATCACCACAAACATCTGAGCAAAGCATTGAGCTATGATGCTCCAGTGTCACTAGGTGACAGAAAATTTTCAGCTTCATTATAATCTTATGGGGCCATCACTGTTATGTAGTGCATGGTTGTATGTATTTTTAAAAATTTATTTATTGATTTTAGAGACAGAAAGGTAGGGAGAGAAGGAGAGAGAGAGAAGAAGAAGAAGAGGAAGAGGGAGGGAGGGAGGGAGGGAGAGAGAGAGAGAGAGAGAGAGAGAGAGAGAGAGAGAGAGAGAGAAAGGGAGAGGGAGAGAGAGAAACACTGATTTGTTGTTCCACTTATCTATGCATTCATTGGTTGCTGCTTCTTTTTCTTTTTGTTACTCCTCACCCCAGGATATTTTTCCATTGATTTTTACGGAGAGTGGAAGAGAGAGGGAAAGACAGACAACACATTGATTGGTTGCCTCCTGCACGAGCCCTGACTAAGGCCCAGGCTGGGGAGGAGTCTGCATCATTGGTTGCTTCTTGTATGTGCCCTGACTGGAGCTTGAACTGGCAACCTCAGGGTATTGGGATGACCCTCTAACCAACTGAACTACTTGGCCAGGGCTTATAATTTTTCTTCTTAATGCTTTGTACTTTAAAATTTTTATATAATGATGCCTTACATTTTAAATACAGGGACAAAAAGGAAAAGCACTGAATAATTTTCACAAAAGGTTTCTCAGGGTTCTTGATTCTACTTGCTTCTTAAAATTATGGATGTGAAAAACAAAACAAAAAACTACAATATGGGGCTTAAGGGCTAAGATTAAAGAGTTGAGAAAGAAAAAAGAGAAAAAACCGACTAACGTCATGCCAGGAAATGCAGAATAAATGCATTTATGCTGCTCAAACATCCCAAAAAGAAATAAAGATTTCCAGTTTGGGATGGAAACAGGATGCCACTTGAGAATTCTTACTCCATGAATTCCATGTATGAACTACATTGTCCTGATATGTACAATTAGGAGAGAAAGGAGACTTACAGAGAAATCTCTTTTGGGAGTGAGCTTCTTGGGGAAGTGATCAAAGGCATAGGGTTTGGTGCAGACAGGATAGCGGTTCCGGTGGATCTTGTAAAACAGGTGTGCTGACTTGTCAAGCCGATAATCACAGATGTACACATCTTGCTCCTTCACTCCTTTGGGTCTTCCTATGGGTCCAAACACTGTTAAATAACCCTATTTTCCCTTCTCTCCCCGAGCTGCCCAGAGACTACCCCACACCATTGAGAGAGCAGTTAGACTCTTTAAGAGGGAAACGCTGCAGCTATTACTAAGCATTTGGTGACTGCAGGAGAAAGGAGAATTCTCAGACACTAGCAACAAGAAAGGAAAAAGGGTGTCTAGCATGTTGGGGATACTATAGGATGGAAAGAAACCAGAAATGTAGATAAAGTGCTGCAGGGATTTTTGAAGAAAGATTTGGAGGAAAAACAGAGCAGAATATGGGGAAGTTATGGGAAAAGAAAGGCAGTATAAATAAGGAAAGCACATTTGGGAATGAACACTTTATCCCACAAATACTAACAAAGTGCTAACTATATAGTATTACAGAAAAAAAAAATATAAAAAAGAGAATTAACATTATTCAATACCAAGCACTAGGTAAAAGAAAGAAAAAAATACAGTATAGCTCTCTGACTAGCCTTGGACAATCTTTTATGAAGCAGAGACAATAAAAATGCAGTGGGCAATTGTAGCTCAGTGACTAGGGGATAGGAGGTAATTTCTTAAGTTGCCCAGATCACTTACCTTTACAATATGTATAGAGGTCCAGCACACAGCAGGTCCCCACTACAGCCTCCAAGGGAATGATCTCATAGAGCGGCACTCGGAATAGCTCATTGTGATAGAACCGACGGGATGGAGAATGGTGGGTTTCATGGGGACGGAAGTAATGGTGGCCAAAGGCAAACCGTTCCTCTCTAAAAAAAGAAAAAGAGAAGAGAGAGGTTTAGCTGGTTAGCAAGATCCTAGTGCTTATTCAGCTCTGTGCAGATGGGGCACAGCTGGAAGAAAAGAGATAAGTCCTCCACACATACTTTTCATTCTTCCAAAGCTTCTCAATTCGGAAGATGTCAAGTTTATCTCTGTTAATGTGAGATAACAGTCGATAGGACTGACGGACTGGGTGGCCATCAGGCGTGCGCCGACTATCCCTCATCAGATATACACAGTCACCTAGGAAGGCAGAGAACACAGGAGAAGGTTAAAATCATTCCTGCATCAATTCTGTTAGGCATCCATTGGTCTGGCTCCAGGTCTACATAGAAAGAAGTTAAAATCTAAAACAATAAATTCAACCAGCAGTCTAATGGTGATAATCAACTCTAGACTATGAGAATGAGCTGAGGGAGGTCTTCCATCTTTTAGAATCCTACATGTCCTTCCTAGTCTTATAATTAGCTTTATAAGACCCTGTTATCACCACATAAGTTTTATTTGGTGGAGGGGAAGTGCATGTAAGCCTAAGGACTGAAAGATATAAAAACCTTTATTCCATTGCTACTAATGGTCATATGGAGACAATGACTATTATGCAGACAGCTGACACCTCCTACTATTCAGAAAGGTCTGCTTTGACAAGTAGGGTCAGCTCCTGTGTACGCACCTTGACGAAGAAGCAAGTCATCTCGGAGCAAACAGATGAAGTAGACACATCCAGGTTGGGCATAGTGGGGCCGAGGAATCATGGGTACCTCCTGATAAGAGCACAAAGCCAATGGATAAGGGCTGGGCCTACTACATCCAGCCTGCTGATCTCTATTCAAGAGGCAGATAAGTAAAACCAAGAATTCCCAACCAAGTAAAATTTACTGTTTAGTCATTTCAATACATCAGAGA